TTCAGATCAATATATTTTCGAAACATCAGGTTACCTCGACAAATTAAATGAAGGAGATGTTGTAATGGTGGATAACGGATTCAATCTTGTAGAGCGTTCAATTGCACGCATAGAAGACTTTCAATCGCATCTTTACTTTATGATTAATTTGCTAGACCATATCTTTTTTATAATTGCAGCTATAACTAATTTATTACCTCATTTAGTTGATTAAATAACAATATTTGAATTACAAGACATTTAAAACACTAAAATATTTCATGTCTAACTAATTAAAATAATTTTGTTAAAGTAATTAACACAAATATTTTTAGTTTGACACCCTTACTTTGACCTTTAGTAATGTTAAATGTTACAAAATAAAAAAATCAATTTTATCGTCAATTTGATCATTTTCAAAAATTTTAAATAAAGTTTTATTCAGAACAGACTCTGCAGTATTGGAGATCTCTTCATTTATCATATAAGGCAAGATCATAGTTTGTAAAAATATTCAATTTTTTAACACAACTTAGCCAAAAATCAATTGAAAAATGAACACAATAATATAAGTCTTTTGAAGTTCCAACAAAAAATCACAATATAAAAAACCTGTTGAAACCATTTGATACTGTTTGTTTGATACTGACGAGAATCAAGTACAATTGTACTTTTTTCAAATACTAAACCTGTGTCTTTGATAGAGGCAAATTATCGATTTGTCAAATCTCTATGAGTCCAAGGTCATTTAACCTCTATACATCCAGTGCCACAACAAGTACAATGAACAAGGGAATCAGGTGATGCACAAACTATTGGTAAATCTTTATTTACAAATAAACAACACTTAGTCACTTTCATAAATCTATGATTTTTTTAATTTTATTTTAAGTATGCTTTGAGTACATCTTTTTCATGACGTAATCCCCAGGAAGTAGATTACTTTTTAAAAACTTTTGACTTATATAATATGCCAAATAATAATGGGTGTTATTTTTTTTGGAAATAAAATCTCTAGGTCATTATTTACTTTACCATAAACTTTTGATGCAGTGACTCTGCCTTTGCAGAGTTTATGCCAATCATTATTACACTGCTTTCTTGTTAAGTGTTCTAGTTTAAAAATTTTGTAGCTAACTGCATCAAACAAAACTTTATATGTAATCTTACAATCTAAATAAGTTACAACTTCATAAAATGTCTTAGGGAGAATGCATAAAGGTATTATCTTAGATTTCTTGAGCAACATAGGAAGTATCAGTTGTAGGAACAACTTTTTTTGTTTGCATGAGCATGACATATCCACAATTATAATTTGTTATTTGTCAAAAAATCTACATGTTTGTTTATCATGGAAACTTCTTGTTAATTTGTGGCTCATGGATCAAAATTTAAACGATTTGAAAGATTTTTTCTTGTAAATACTAAAATATCTTTTGATAGAGATTTTGCTAATTAAATATCACTTAGCATTGATGGTCCATATAGCTTTTGAACTTTTTTGATGGTTTGAGCCATTCAAGAGGTTTTTGATACATGTACATGTTTTATTCTAACCAATCTTTACACTATGTTCAACATACCATAAAAGTGTACCAACATATTTAAAGCAACCAGACATTCTAAAACTAAAGTAGTCTTTACTTTTTAAAAAGAAAAAATTGTAAAAAACAAAGGAAAAAATAAATTTAATAATTAAAAAATTGAAATGTTTCTAACAATATAAAAAGTTTCAAAATTTCAAAATATTTGCAGAAATGAGTCTTTCTTTAAACTAAGCTCCATAACAAAGATTTTGAAATAATATTTATTTACCATTAAAAAAAAGCTAGTTATTCAGACTGACATAAAACCAAAAAATTTTCAAAAAATTTAATTTAGCAAAACTTTGAAAATTTTTTTTAATAAACATACCCAGCTGCACAATCACAATATGCAGATTTTATTGTACCATGCTTTTTGTTAATCAATACCCAAACATTATAAACAGGTTTTTTGCTTTTTTGCTCAGGTAAAAAATAAGCTGCAACCCAGCCAACATTGACAGACGGGTACCGTATGGTTTTTGTCTGGGCTTCCGGGAACGGGATTTTGACGGGTAAGTGTTTTGGTTTCCAGACGGGTCCCATATGGTAATAAAATCAAGCATATTTGCTCGTTTGAGTTTTATCTGGTTTTTGTCAGGGCCAAAGAATCTGGGGATTTGACGGGTTACCCATAAGGTTCCCAAAAGTAGGAGGGGTCCAAAATCGTCTTTTTTTAGATTTTTTTTATAGTTTAACCAATTTTTCAATATAGCATTATATATGAAAGTAATAATAGTTTGTTATTTACTATTGAAAATGGAAAATAACTATAAAAAACATATGCGATAGAGATTGCTGTGTGAACTTTCCTTATAGAACATCTAGGTTATATGCGTGTTCTTTGGTAGACATAAGATGGAGGTTTGTATTTTTATATCAACAATCATGTATTTAAACAGAATAGACCTCCGCCACAATGACTTAAATTGTATCCC